GTTTTGAAGTGACATCGTCCAGCACGATCAATGTCCGCTACCAAACCTTGCACCCTTCGACAGGATGCAAGTCTCAGCAACCATGATCCGGAGTGAGAGCCAGAGGAAGCTGGGAGGCAACGACGAGTATGCCCATTATGCCCAAGACACGACTTCAAAACACCACTCGCCAGTCGAGTATTACCATACCTTTTCCGTCAGCAGCGACAACAGCCTCGATGAGTTCATCGCCCAGAGTTGGATCCCAGAGCCGCTGCTCGATCTTTCATGGAACGACATCCGAGACGTGCAGGACCAGTGGCAGCATACGATGTCCTTATCATCGCAGGACGACTTGTCTGCACACCAAATCCAAACGTTCGCATATCCTATGAGCTCGAACGACTCCGCAATTTCAGTCGGACACTCCTTTGACGAGTTTGAGAGTCAGATAGCCTTGAAGGAAGCATGCGGTGCAGCTGCGTATCAGCCTTGCATTCCGGCCGTCAATCATAATGCTGGGGAGTACGGACGCGATTACCCTTCTCAGACACCGCAACTTGCTGTCACAATACCGACTGAACACGCGTATCCAAGTTCGATTCCGAGTTCTATGCATAGAATCATTCCGTCAAACCATGCACTGGCAGGGTATCCTGATACTGGACTCTTATCTTTCAACTGCGATGACGATCTGAATCTGGCTACGACCGATGTCACCTGGGTACCGTTCATCCCAGATCAACCCCAGCAACATCACGTCGCTACAACTACAACCACTAGTCCAAAGCCTAAGAAGACAACCTCTTCATCCGTGGGCTTGGCTCTAGATTGGTCAACTAGTGAACAACCACCTGAGACATTCATCAAGCAGCAGAAGCCTTCCCTTCCATCAGCTCCCAAGCGTAAATACACATCACCTCGCTCCTCAACAGAAGAAGTCCAGCCAGACTGCCATCTAGAAGAATGTGTTGGTGTTTTCGAGAATGCACCTGGCGCGTTGGCGACGGTCAAGAAGAGGAAGAAGCTCGATGCGCCTGTGAGAAAGGCAGCGAGGGACGTGAGGATGGCTGGGGCTTGCCATCAGTGTCGCTTTCGGAAGAGGACGGTTTGTTGCTCATTATGTCGGCTTGTATGAGACTCCAGCTGACATATCTAGTGCTCGACTGGTACACCGTGTGGATCTTGCCTGAAAAATGGAAAAGGTCTACACGAGATCAGATGTCAGAGGGAGAGTCCATTCATCGGCAAGCCCGTGCATGAATGTAATTGTCCCTTCTCGGCTTTCACTACAAAGCTAATCATCCCAGACTTCGAATACTCGTCAACTCGACGAGTCGTCTCTTTCAACATCTTACTCTCGCCAGACTCCAGTCCCGACCACGAAGAATACTTTGTCTTAATTGACGGCGTGGACCGGCTTTCCCATCCCATAAAACTTCGTGCTCACCGTAAACTGCTCAATAGCTTCAGCACAACCGAGCAAGCAGCCATCAGGCGAACGCAGGACAGGAAGAAGATCGGCCTGTGTGCAGACGATGCTTCTGTCCAGGTCACGATTCTGGAAGATGATGAGACGTTAGGCACGCGTGTTGAGCAGTGGGCTGTGGAGTATGCATCCAAGTTCGTGCATGCTGCGGACTCGAAATTTCAATGTGCTACAATTTCTGTTATTCTTGGGACGGCGTATGTGAAGAAAGGTTTACCTGAAGTATGTCTCATCTCTCCTTCTCAGCAACGCTATGTGCTGAAGTACTGACAACGTCCAGTCACCCCTCGTAGCAGCCATGCTCCGTGTCGCGTCCCTTGCATTCATCCTTCGAGCTGGTGTAAAATGTACTCCCTCTCCCAGCCTCAGTTCCGATCCTAGTTCCTCCACACCCTCACAGTCCCAATTCCGCACCACTGAAGCAACAATCGACACCATCCTCTACCAACGCCTCCAACTCGCATGCAGAGACCTCTTCACCATGCTGCAGCGCCTCGTCTTCCGGAAAGCGGGCTTCTTGACCCGCGAGCAGGTATACCCTGTCGCGTTGGTATTCTGGCAGATTCTGAGGATTCTGTGTTTGGGTGCGAGTCATTTGTCGAATATCGTCATGAGATTTAATGAAAAAGGTACGTTGCTTGAATCTATTCCCTATGTTTTCTTACTTCCACCGGACTGTCTTGCATGATCGAAGAAGGATTGTTAACATGCATACAGCACGCTCGAAATCCGACTTCCTAACTCACACTCTCAAACTCCTCCTCTCAACACACCTCGCACTCTTTCGCTCCTCCAACCCTCTGTTATTCTCTTTCTCTCTTCCAACCTCAAGCTCAACCACATCTTGCTCGCCCCACCAATCCCGGAAGTCATCCTCGAGGTCATCCTCCAAATCATCCTCTCCACCTTCCTCCGCCGCAACAGCCACTTCTGCCTCTTCTCCCGCCAAAGACAAAGACACAGAAGAGAAGAACAACAACGATCTCCTCGGCAACGACTCCCACCTGCTGAATCTAGCGACCAAGATGCGCGAAACCGTGCTAGTATTCCGCGAGAAAGGGTGTCCGGAGATGAAGGGCAGTATGGCGTTTAAAAAGGAGTACTTGGATTTGTTCAGGAGTGTTTATGTTGGGCTATAGGGAGGATGGCGCAGGGCTAGGAAGGGAAATAAGGATGAGGAATTGGAGTCATGGGCGGTATTGGTGTTGCAAATAGCATAGTGTAAGGGTATATGCTTTGAGGTTCAGGACTAGAGTTTTTACTCAGCACGGTGAATTTCCGAGGAGACAGTCAAGTCATGTAAGGAATCATGGATGCGCTGTTGAAAGTACTAGTAGTGGTAAAGTTGAATATCAAGCATTTTCAATCAAGCTGGAACTACGGTATTTTGGAAATGTCTTTATGTCCGCATTTAGAGGGCCCTGTTTTTAAAGGAAGATGGATGAAGAACTTTGGTAAGGAAGTGACGGACACGCGTGGTTCTTGGACCTCGAGTTGTTGAATTCGCTGTTGGCATGGTCAAAGTTCACAACTCCTTACGGTACCGGGACTCCAATTTCGGTCCTGCCATCACTCGCTTAGAGCACTTTTCATCCCGATACCGGCCCACAAATCAGCCAAAGTTTTTAGCCATACAAGTAATCAGATAAGCACATCCACGTCACCCAATCACCAAAACTCGGTCGGTAAGTAACCACAATTCGACTTGCCCAGTTCATGAGAACAGATTCTAACATGCGATATAGCTTAGCTCAGTTGGTTAGAGCGTGGTGCTAATAACGCCAAGGTCGCGAGTTCGACCCTCGTAGTGACCATTGAATATTATCTATTTGTACTTTTTGTATGGTATTTAGGGCTTTAGGAGGGAGCTGATGTAGTCCTCGAGATTCAGATTTTTTTGACCTAGGCTTTTTGTTGGCTGAATGTGTGCCGGGCATGGGCCGAAAACGCGGGGACGCCTAGAAGCTCACATCTCTCATGTTAGTCCTTCATTTACTGACTCTTCTCTTCTGTATTATTTTCAGGTTCTTGAAATCTTTAAATGCAAGAACGTAATTACAAAATTAATGTCAAAAGCGTCCTCTCTTTTCCTTCCTATCCTTTTTTTCGAGCCAGTTTTAGGTGATAGTTTTATTTATCGTTGCCCCATGACTATTTAACTGAAGCGAGAGGGTCACCACTGGAAAGCCCCACCAAACAAAGCCTTGACGAGAATCTTATCGCATTTTCGACCTTTCTGATGTTTAGATGATGGCATCTGGCAAATGCATTCTTAGATGAAAGATCTCCTAATCAGTACCTAGCCAAAATGACTAATATCGTCTAATTACTTGCGTTCAAGAATACTTGCTCAGTTCCAGTAAATGCTACAGCAGAACGTTCAGTGAAAAACTTTCCAATTCTTCTCTAATGATTCTTGCATTTTCTCGATGAGGAAATGGAGTCCCATAGGCAGTGTACAAGTCTTCTCACTTTCGGTCTGTGGCACAGTTTCGTCCCATGGTTGAGAATAAGAAATCTAAAGAGCCTGGCTTGGAAACAAGATAATGAAATGCTTGATTATGGCGAAGCGGACGGCCACATCGACGCCTGACCACTAATATTGTTCGCAAGGTGGATTTTGACTATGCTCACTGTAGCCAGTATATTTGACATGAGGTGCTGGAATTTCCTTGACGCAAATTTATTGCTTACTGTGTGTGTGGTAAGCATACAGACTGTCTGCCTCCAAAAATCTGATTTTGGAAATCAACAATGCAATAGCCATTCGTCTTAGCGTCCTCTCGATTCCCTCATTGACTTTCGCGATCAATTAGCGAGATGGTTATGCCGGATGGGTAATCCTGCTGCCGGATAAACAGACGGTGAATTTTGCATTTGATATTATGCTAGTTGTGTGCGGTTTGTCGTCACCAGTGGCAGACGGTCTACAGAGGACCAAGACAGGAGATGCTACTTGCCAACTGAAATGCATCTGAACTCTACTCACTCTCTGAAAGGAGGTATTAGTGGTATCCGATCTTGTTAAGCTATTAAGTGGTGAGTGCTTGCTTTGTTTACCTCATGATAGTGGGAGTTGGAGACTCTCTTGGTAGTGTCTGGTATCATTTAACATTGAGCCAATACCTTTTTCAACACAGCTTACTAAATGAAATCTTCTACTATATTGTTTATTGTTGACTATCTCTGATTGTTTGTTGATTGCCCAGCCTGGTTCACAGACTAAAATGCTCTGGTGCAAGGAGGCCGTCAAGGAGGACGAGAGTAGAATCCTTATCAGAGGATACTAGGCCATAGCTTCCGACCTCCTTAGATCCTGTGAAATGTTCCATATATGTTGTGTAACTTTTTGCTTGACTGTGTGTGCCCCACAGAGAGCTGGAGTTTAATGGCAATGAGTTTCACGTTCATCGGCTTATTTGTTAAGTAAACAAACCAAAAAACAATTTGTCAAAATCTGGCGCTACCAACGCAATGCATCATTGCCAAACAACTTGAAGAAAAAAAAGCCTGAAAACAAAGAAAAAAATATTGCCCAGACTGAGGCTCGAACTCAGATCACACACGTCCAAATGCCTCTCCTGCCGCCTATCCAAAATGCCCCAAGTGGCGCAAATGTTAGTACAAGTAGTCCAAACAAGGCTCAAGTTGTGTGCATGTTGCCAATTACACTACCCAGGCTTTCTCGAATTATGTACTGGACTTTCTTATCTCGTTATGTGACCTCGAAAATGATTTGTGGATTTTGGTTTAGCTGGGGCTGAACGGGTGGGTGAATGAGCCGTCGAGGGCAAGGTGAGGTTGTGCCAAAGAAATTGAGGAACCGATTCTGTATGCTTCAATACAAACGATTTCTGACTCACAGCTGAATAGTTTTTAGCTTTATGACATGCATATGAAGAAGCTGTTTGCCTCCTCTTGCATCAAGCTAAGCGCACATTCCTTGATGAATGATCTGAGGTTTTTGGTCCAGTGTTGTTTAGACTATGCACCGGTATGAACTCCTCACACTTTCTCTCTCGGTCTGTCCTCAAGCAATCGTCCCAACACTATGTGAAGACATTACCAAAACTTTGCAAAGCTAAGCCCAAATGCTTTAACATCCGTCAACCTACTCGTCCTTGTAAAGCCATACCCTTTGAGAAACCCCTGTCGCAATTATGGCTGCAAGGAAAATGATCACCGTGACGAAGCCAATCGAAACTAGGTAAGAAAGAGCAGCTTAGGGTAAGCAGGATGACAGACATTCATTGTAAGCGTGTTTGACTCCAAACAGCCTGGAAATTCCCGTTTATCCAAAAAAAAAAAAAAAAAAAAAAAAAAACCCATCCACAACTTGTCCCTTTCCCATTAGTAAAAGATTCTCCAAACCCGAAGAAAAAAAAGCAAAAAACCTCTTCGAATCTCTCCTACACTGAGAAATCCCTCACTCAGCACAAACATACGACAGTCTCCAAAGAAGAAAAGTTTTGACTTGAGTATGACTCGACCCCTGCATCTTAGCTTCTTACATACACCAGCAGAAACCCCTCTCAGCCCGAGGACCAAAATGGGTTCTACCAAAACGTCCGGAACGTACAGTAGTGGGCGGATGTGTATTTCGCCCAGCTAAGCTATCCCGCCTTCATTCTCAAGTGGATTGTGATGCGAAACCATGCACAGTTGTCACAGTCTGGTAGCACTCGCTGCGGATGTTCTCTCCTTCCTGCGTTACTCTTTCCTTTATCTGATTTTTCTGGTCTTCTGGAAACAAATAACGTTGCTGCTGTTACCTGTATACTTGTCCAGGCCATGGGGGTGAGAATCAAGATCTCAGATGAACAGTCGGCAGACTCGGATCAACCCATGCTTACAGCTCTCAATATCACTTCAAGCATGGCAAGACCCGATCATCCTCAAATATTGATTTACCTAGTCGCATCGCTCCTGTGAACTACTAGGCCGCCCCATCCCCTCCTCCCTCTCTGCACCCAACACCGGCCTTGCTCCATCTTCAAAATGCAACTCAAACCTCCAACATTCAGGATGTCTCCTACCCCTACATTTGCACTTCTTCTCCTTCCCCTTCCCTTCTATACTCCCATCCTTTCCTTCACCAGATATCCCCTTTCCCTTTCCCTTCCCCTTCTCACCCTCATTCTCGGCGTCCTCCCGCTCCAAAATTCCAAACGCTTCGCCCCCTTGCACACTAGGCGTCCACCTCACATGTCCCCTTTTCCTCCCTGTCCCAGGCGTCCTGATACTCGGACTCAATATACCCACAGGACTGAACGTTCCGGGTAATGGTATACGAATTGGTCCTGGCCGTTTCTTCTCGCTCATTTCTCCTTTACCCGTCCCGACCGAGGCAGAACTCAGGTCCAAGTCAGAATCCGAGTATGCATCTTTGCTTTCTAGCAATGTCTCTTCTTCTTCGTCTTGTATCTCGTCTGAAAGGGAATTGCGTGACTTGTGTAATTGGTATGAGGTCGGTCGTCGGTTCCGAGTGTACAGAATTAAGCTAAGAATGATGGCGAGAATGAAGAGGAGGATACTGGCGTTGAGAACGATGGCTACCCGGTAGGACGCGGGAAGGGTCCATGATTCGGGCGAGGAAGGCGGTGTTTGGGTTTGGGATTGTGGTTGGGATTGAGATTCTGGTGGGGTGGTGGATTTGTGGAAGAGGCTTTTTCGGGGGAGGATCATGGTGGGTGATTTATCTTGGTTGGATTGAGGGGTCTCTGATAGGGAGCTGAAGGTATTCTAGCTGCTGTCAGTTCATTGCATAACTTGGGTTTAATAGGTGGGAGGAAGCTGAGAATTGGGCACTCACTCAGTACTGAGGGGATGGAGATGGAAATATTAAATCTGGCACAGAAGGAGACAGTAGGCAGGAGGCAGAAACCGAGCTTCACCTCAACAAAGAGGTCTCGCAGATATTATGAATCCGGATCGATGGACGACGAGCCTACAACAGAGTTCACGCCAACGACAGCATGAATACCGTCCTTGCTCTCCTCACACCTTGAAAACCTAATTAAAGAGAGTAAGTGGCGAGGAATCACCAAAAGAAAACACAATAAATCGTCATGAATCCATTGCAAACAGGCAGACAGATCAAAGAACTGGACGTGAGGTCCAGATGAAGATGGGAACGGACGGAGTAAAGACACGATGTTAGGCCCGGGATCAATAATATTTCGCGGTTAACACTTCGGCGGACGAATCGAAGCTCAGGGATCTTGCTGGCGGAGATGGCAGAGTTTCCGTTTCGGGGTGACAGGCCCTCGGGTGCGAGACATGCATGAGCCGCTGCGACCCACGATGGGAGCGAGCGAGCGAATGCGGGTGCGCCGTTTTGAAGGCCGTATTGGGTGGACTCCGGATTTGATTTGGTTTGATTGGATGACTGAGCTTTGAGGCTGAACATGTGCGAGGACCCTTGAAGCTGGGATGCTTGGGAACGCGGTGATTGGTGCGTGATGAGCTGGTGGGGTTGAAGTTTAATGAGGCTGGCATGACAGGCTTGTCAGCAGTTTGATGTTTGTGGGGGCATTGATGGATGGGAATCCGAGGCGGGGGACAACAATTGACCGCCGGCTCCGGAAAGAGAGGAATGCATAAGTATCGAGGAGAGAAACATTGACTTCATTTCTAATCTCATGGCCAGCACCAGACGAGATCCGGGGATCCGGTTCGGGGACATCTACATCCCATTCATAGAATACACTTTTGTACAATCTGTCCTCCCGATCCGAGTAAAAGAGGTCATCTTGTACATCCAACTCCTTCCCAGACCAAATTTTTATACATCCGTATCCATTTACAAGTCATCCTCCCCAAGCGGCTTCGGCTCCTTCCAGATTCGACCGCCCTTGGTTCTCTTCTCCCTCTTGACAAGTCGACTGGCGATACCAGCCTCTTTGATCTGCGCAACGCCTTCCTTGCCCATGATCATATCATAGTGCTTCTTCTTCATCTTCTTGCCACCCTTGCCAATCTTTCCATCTCTGATACCCTTGATCTTACCGCCATCGTCTCCAGAACGTCCAAGACGAGGTGATCTGAAAGTTCGAGTTTTGGCTCCCAAAGCCCAGAGATCTCCCCAGCTAGACTTACGTGCATCGCGGTATGCAGCTTTACTGAAGCTTCTGGGTACAGTCCAGCGCTCGAGCTTTCCGGATGGTGTACAAAGGTCGAGAGTGACATGGCCGCGACGTTTGAGACTGGGAAGAATGATCCGAGGGAGATTCATAGGTTCGAATTTCACATCGCTTGGTTCCGAGTCAAACTCATCAGAGTCGGGAAGATCGTGGTCTTCATATCCGGCAAGGGATTGCAAAGTGGCCTCTTCGCCCTGTACAAGACCGGGGTAACGTTTTCGAGCATCAACGCCTCGACGAACGGCGATGTAGCTAAACTTCGCATCCTCATGATTACGTATCTTAGCACCGAGAATCTTCTGAAGGTAGTCTGGGCGAATAAATCTTTGGGGGAAATGACAGAAGTCTTTTCGTCCAGTGCTCAGTCCAGGTACCGGATACATTGGACATTTGAGATGATTCGTGCATGGTGCGATGATCATGCCCTCCTCTTTCTTCGTGAAACGAGATACTTCTGAATTCGGAGACTGGATCTCGTTCTCGAAGGCGGTCTCTCCTGGGGAGGAAATGTGAGACTCGAGAAGAAGAGACCTTGCACCTGCGATTGCCTCGAAGCCCCGGGGTAGACCCTTTTCAATAAGTATAAGAACCCCGCCTTTGGGATCGAGAAGTGACCATAGGTTCTGCACCATATTCTTACGTCGGAAGTCTTCCTTCAGTGGGAATAATGTATGTGGTGCAATGATAATGTCGTAGGACTTCCTGGGCTGATTCACGTTCCGGTCCAAATGTGGGGTGGTTGATGGACCAGGTATGTATTCGGGTAGTCGAGGAAGGAAAGTTGTATCCTCCAACAATCGAGATATCCGATGCCGTAGAGCAGTAGAGCCTGTGAGGACTGACGTCTTACCATGAGGCACCTGCTCGCCTTCAACAAGTCCCTCGTCTCTCATCACATCCCATTCAGCTTGAAGAATCTCTCGCCATGCAATGACTCCGGCACCTGCACCACCGGCATCCAAAAGTCGGGGGCCTTCACCACCTTCTCTGAAAATCAGATCTCGGACCCACTGGCCACCAAGCCGTTTCCGGACTTCTACAAGAGTATTTGTGATAGATGCGAATGTCCCTGGCATAACTGCTGCCAGGTACGCATCCGCTTCAATCTCACTCATTTTGTGTTGCATTGCATCCAGCCCTATATTCTTCTGCGGAAGCATTTTCTTCGAAGCTGGTACAGCTGCCGAGTAGGGCAAGCCTTTGCCACCGAATACCCTCTCTGCAGCTTCAGTAACATGTTTCGTGCTCGCGCGTGCCAGTAATTCGGACATGGGTGCTAGGAATGTTTCTTTGGGAAAGGTAAGTGTCGTAGGGTTGGTTCCTGATCGACCAGTCATAGTATGAGGATGTGTTCGAACAGCATCAGAGCTGATCCATATGCCGTCCTCTTCCTCCTCATCCTCCTCCACTTCATCCTCCTCATCTTCTTCATACTCCTCGTCTAACTCGTCTTCCTCTTCTTCCTCAACAGGTCTAGCCAAAGCTGCATCCATATCCAGTTGTAATCGTGCAATGGCGTCGATTTCTCGTTGGTTCCTC